CTTTTCTAAGGTAGGGTCTTGCAGCATAGTTCCAGCTGGTCTTGTACTCATTTGGTGTTCTGGGCTGGCCTTGGACTTGGCTGAGAGCCTCCTGCTTCAACCTCCTGCACGTTGGGATTACAGGTGTGCACCACCATGCCCCACAGGTGCTGTTTCTCCTCTTTCACTTCAGCCTCAGCAGCTGTGCTGGGGTGTTGCTTAATGAGGCTTGGCGGTCTTTCTCACGTATGCAGGGCCAACCTGGTGGGTATCTGGTCTGAGCAGGTAGCCAGGGCTCCAGATTCAGGAGGCCCAGACTTTGTGCTTAGTACTACAGAGCCTTGAAATTCCTCATTTGATCTGTGGAATTATGATTTCTAAGTGACATCTTGATAGCACTTTGGAGCCCATGCCAGGGTTTGGGAACCTAAGCTCACACGTGCTACTGCCTCCCCAAATCTGCCTACCTCCCCAGATAGTTCCACTAGGGACCTACTCCCCTGCCCCCTGTACCTGAGGCCCAGCCGTTCCTCACCTTAGTGAACCTTGCCACTGGCAAGGACCTGGTATGCATGCAGGAGGTGGCACAGTGGGGCACCTATGTGCTGTGGTGTTTCAGGGCAGGGCAGGCCTAATGGTGGCTACCTGAGCCTGGCCAGACACAGCGCATAGATCTGGGGGCTGCTAGTTGTCCAGTTTGCTGGCGCCAAAAGCCAGCAAAGTATTCCGTGTCTGGCAAAGTCCTCTTTTGGACAGTTCAGGTCTTGGGGGACTTGAGCTCATCTCTTCCAGTCAACCCGAAGCATTTTCTGGGAGAAGCCAAGAAACACAAATTGTATAATCTCAGTCATTTTGCACATGGGCATCACACTGCAAAAAGAATGGTAAAACTCATGCTAATAATTTAAAATTTTAATTTCTCCATGGGAGACATTAAATAGCAAGTAAATGCCATGAAAAGTGGAGAGAGAGACTACAGGAGGAGGCAAAAACTGTAGTTTAGCATATTTTTGGACCTCATGCTTGCAGAGCAGGTTCTGTTGAGCTACGTCCCCAGCCCTGTAGTTCAGCATCTTAACTAGCTCTTTTTTTTTTTCTTTTTACACAAAGGCCCTCACAGTTTATTCTGTGCTGGGCCTTGCGAATTACACAGCTGGTTCCGCATGAGCCCGCACACTTCTGGCTCTAAACTGTGCCTGAGCATACTTTATTTATTAAGCATTTTTGAAGAAAACAAACTCAGCGCTGTGTCCTGTGTGGTTAGTACCACACTACAAGGAGCAGGGCCCCCAGGAAATACAAACACAATATAGGGGTCAGTTTATTAACACACAGGTACCTCCCAGGCCACAAGGTCACTACTGCCTCTGCAGAAAGCTGGTCCTGGGACTCAGGAAGCCACCTGGAGTCCTCTTAAAGCCTCTTCATTTTTTTTTTCTTTCAGGAACGAGTTCTGCTGTAGTCACTTTAAATGGTGGACTATGGATCACCCAGATTCCCAGACCTACATGTAACAGGGTGGGAAACAAACTTGCTCTCCTAGGAGCCAGTTCCACTGTTCTGAGAAGGAATCCAGTTGGCCCCGTGTGGGCCGCATGTCCACCACTGGTCCACTTGGTGTCTCAGGCAGTTCCCAGAGAAAGAAGGGCATTTGCCAACTGGATGGCTGTTGGGAGCCGCAGGAAGCTAAGAAATTGATCAAATGTGTGTAGGTGGGACTGGGCCTTCTTGCCTAAAGCAAGCAAGCTACCTCAATCCTGAGAAAAACATCCTGTCTGGTTCAGGCCAGCTATTATTCACTAGGAAACCTTGTGTCATGTGTTACAAACTTTGCAAAAGTATAAATAAACAATTGTTTTGTTGTGCGTTTAGTTAGTCTTGCCCATCAGGCAGACTAGCAACCACCTAGGCCAGCTTTTGTCTTCTTGTCTTTCTCATTCCTACTGCCATGTCTCCCCCAGTAAAACCATTCACAGTGAGACCAACGGATCCCTACAGACGGCTGCCCCCAGGGTGTCTTCTGCATGCGTCCTGTGAGGTTTGTTTGTTAAAAAAATGTATTTAGTGCGCTGGTGAGATGGCTCAGTGGTCTAAAGCACCTACTTAGAACAAGCTTAGCAAAGCACAGGGACCGCGGTTCAATCCCCCAGCCCCGCATGCCAGCCAGCCCCGCCCCCTGGTGGACTGAGCTGGCCACACACACACACACACACACACATAAATAAATAAAATTTTTAAAAAAATGTATTTAGTACAGAGTCTACAGGGTCTCACTATGTAGATAGGACTCATAGTGATTCTTCTGTTTTCAGCCTCCCAAATGATGGAATTATAGGTGTGCACCACCACATCTAGTTTCAATTACCTTCCCAGCACACCCCAGAGGCAGGGCCGGCACAGCATACTGGGGATTGAACTCGGCCCCTGTGCTCTGCCTAAGCAGGCGCTTTAGTCCACTGAGCTATCTGGCCGGCCCCTGCCCTGTGAGTTTCTAATTCATTCAGTGAGCATTTGCTAAGTGGCAGCAATGAGCGAGGCACTGCACTGGGTGCTGGGCAGCCGCCAATGTGATCTGGGCCTGTCCTGGAACAGGACCTAGATGCCATCAGAGGGCAGTGGTGGCCTCATGACATGACGAGTGCCAGCCGAGTGTGGATACAGATACCGAGGGAGTGCAGGCACATGAAGGGGTGGTCACAGAAGTTAGCTGGCAGCTGAGCCCTAGGACTAGCTCCAGGCAGGGGTGGGATGACCTGAGCAAAGACCTTGGGATGGGAAACAGCATTGTGTGGGAGGAATTGTGGGTAGGTGTGTGATGGAGTTGGAGGAGTGCAGAGGCAGTGGCTGCGGCTGAGGCTGGACTGGGCAGGGCATGAGGACCCAGCGTCATGTGCCCGGTCATGTGCCCACTCGGGCGGTGGTTTTAATTCAGGTGAAATTTATTTGAGTGAAACACCAAGAACTGTATCTGAAACAAAGACACCATCCCAGGGTCACCATATGTGTAGGCCACCCCTGAAGAGGGCCAGACTGGAAGGAAGAGGCTTGGGGGAGGCCACCCATCAGCCTCAGTGAGGGGTCCGTAACCCACCCAGCTCTTTCCTGAGGGGGTGAGACTCACAGAGATCACAGGTCAGGAGAGCGCACTCTCCTCCTGACACTCTCCGGCCGTGGCCCCAGCACCTTTGCTAACTTGTCCACAGCTTGCAGCACATGACAGGGTTCTGGCATCTTGTACCCCTCCTGCAGTCCTTGGAGCGACCTCTTCCACTCCTGGGCCTCACTCCAGACCGGCACAGCCCCTTCTTCCCAGCTGCCCTTCCCTGGCCACCTCCCCTTCTGGGAACATGGCTTCTCTGCCTCTTATAACCCAAGAACGTGTGGGACCCCATGGCTTTTCCAGCCTGGCTCTCTGAGCCAGCCTCCATCAATTATTGGTCTCTGTTGTTAATTCATCTCCAAAACATGGACCACTGTGTGGATTTTATGAAAGCTTTGTAGGAAACAGAGGCCGGTGGGCCAAACTTTCCCTAAGTCTTGTCCAAGCATCTGTTTTCCCAACTTTCTGTCTCCTGTCCCTTGGGTCCCAGTCTCCTTCACCATGTCCCCTTAGCCGAGCAAAAACCAAGCGACTAAGCCTGGCCTCCCCGAGTCCCTGGCCACCACGGTGGCATCCCTCTGTGAGGACTTACATGCAAGGCCTGCATTTTCTATTGGTTACTTTTCTACCGTATCTTCCAATTTGGTGTCCTCTGGTCAGAGGGGCTCACTGTTCTTGGTGTCCCTGCTGTGGTGGCACTGGTGCCCAGCACTGGGCATGCACACAGGAGGCTCCAGACAAGCATGGTGACAACTGCATCCTCCTTCCCAGTGCAGCCCTGGGTCCTGGGCAGAGCACTCCTATGTCTCCTCCTCTGGCCCTTGGGAGGGAGCTTTGGGCAAGAAAACCCCTCTGTTCCTGGGGAAGGGCTGCCCAGGACTCGGGAACACTCGGTCTGCTCCGGGAATGGTGGTTGCCTCTCTCCCTGGGATGCAGACATGAGGCCTCGCTTTGGACCTGTTTGGTTCTCACCTTTTCCTCCATGGGGGCCTTAGCCTTGATGGCTATATGGTCCCTGGTGCTGGGCTTGCTGACCCAACCAGCATGGTCCCCTCCTGTGAGGGCGTGACCTTTATTATGGCTCACACCCCACCCTCAGCAAGGGGCCTTCCTCTGTGAGGAGCCAACCTGACAACCGCAGGCAGGCGCAACCCTTCTCCTGCGCTCTCATTAGCACTTCCTCCGAGGAGATGCGAGAGGAGGTGCAAGGGAAGCTGTTGGCTGCAGGTAGAGGCTCTGCTTGTGGCGACAGCTGCTGGGAGGAGGAGGCCCAGGCAGAGGAGGGCTCAGCCCTAAGCAGCAGGCCCTGCCCAGCACAGGTGCCTGCTGCCCTGTGCACCAGGTCCCTCCCCGGGGGCCACTTGGAGGCTGGCAGTGAAGATGTCCTTCTGGTCCTGAACTGCCCCAAGGGCCACAGATGGGACGGATACTTTGACACACAGGAGGCCCTGAAGAAGTAGGTGACCAGACCAGCAGCACAGAGGGTGCTGCAGAGCCTCCCCGGGCCCTGGGGTTGCAGGACCCCTGGGAAGGGGTTAGCAGATCTACCTTGCCGCTTCTGGGGACATTGCCCTTTGTCGCCGTCCTGTGCTCCCCCTCCCACTGCACTCCCACGCCCCTTTCCATTCATGACACCATCTCTGAAGTCGCTCCTGTTAGTCACAGTGTCAGGAAAGAAGCTCCACCTCTGCCCCATGCGCTTCCTCATGCTGAGGAAGCCGGCTTGGCTCCCTAGTGCCTGGACTGTGCTTTCCACAGGGCCAGTGCTGCTGTTGTAGGAGGCAGGCGCAGCAGAAGGGGACCCCAAGCCAGGGGATTCCCTCCTGGCAGGCCCCTGCCTGGCCCTCCACACCCTGGACACCTTGCAGCGACTGAACAGAGCATGTTCTTCCATCACTGGGAGAGGAGTCAGGAAGGCGATGTTGGCTTCGTCCTGCCTGTGACCTGTCCTGAGCAGATTCACTTCCTGCCCATGACACAGGTTAGAACTTGTGGGAAGCCAGGAAGTGTGAGAGCCAAATATATGCTGGAATCTACAGCTCAGAGGAGGCAGGGAAGCACTCCCAGGTCAGGATCAGGTATTGGGGCTTGGGGGACTGCAGAGCAGAAAAGATTGAGCAGATCGGAGGGTTGTCCTTGGCTTTAGAAGAAATTCACCATGCAGAAGCTAGGAGCTCTGGTGGTCAGCAGGTCAGATGTGGTAACAGTGGCATGGCCTAGTGGGTGCCAGGAGGAACGACCTGGCTCCTTCCCAGGCTGTCCCAGCCACAGGTGACTGCATGGGGTGGGTGTGGCTTGAGGGGCTCCAAGAAAGATGGGGCCCTTGTATCCATCTGGGTGCTGAGACACACAGGGTGAGGAGCGGGGAAGAGTAGCTGGGAAGTGGAGCAGCACACAGTGCCTAAATGACTGAGGTGGATGAACTATGACAGAAGGACAGGAGGTGAGAAGGGAAGGAGGGGAGAGTGAAGAGACAGACATGTAGGGTGTTTTAAAGATTCCTGCCTTTGCTTCTTTGAAATTTGAGCCTTGGTTTCCACTGAATTCGATTCAAATCAGCACCCTTCTGCCGGGGAGATGGCTCAGTAGAATAAGCACTTCCCTAGCAAGTGCAAGGGCCTTAGTTCAATCCCCCGTTCCGCAAAAAAAAAAAAAAAACCTACAAATAACGATCAAGGATAGTCCCTGCCTCCACCTTCCCAAAGGACACTAATACAGAGAAGGAGGACACCTGTGGGAGCAGGGAGAGCTCATGAAGGGCACCCACCAGGCACGCTGGGAGCGGATGGTTTTAAGTTGATCTACACACTGACAAATGTGTGAAGTTCTGGGCAGAGGGTCCACCATGAGCCCTGCCTGGGCTGCGCTCTCCTGCTCTCCCCAGCATCTACAGGATGAGGAGGTGTCACGCAGCAGCAGATGGGCAGGCGGGGCTGGGGGCATGCTCGGTGCTCTCTCAGCAGAAGGGTCTGCAAGAGTATCCTACTCACCTCCCTCCGTTCAGGCCACTGTGACAACACCCCTTAGATTAGCCCATTTAGAAGGAACACAAATATACCGCTCGCTGTCCAGAGGCTGGGAAGCCCTTTCTGCTCACAAGAAATTCAACAATTCCCCCACGAAGGAGGCCAATGCGGTGCAGGCAGCTGGCTCAGCCCTAGGCATGGCTCTCTTCAGAGAGGTAACTCTTCTTTTTTCTGAAAAGCTCCCTGTTTGCAGCATTTGGAGCCAATGACATGCTTTTTATTCTTACAAATAATGCCATTAACTTCACCTTTGTCTTCAGTAGCAAGAACTGCTAATAGTCAAGTGTTCTATAATTGAGATGAGAAAACCAGAAAAATGCACGATTTGCAGGAATCCTTTAGTCAGTAGTCACGTCACCCTGTGGCCCCGACCTCCTTTCCCCCCTCGTTGAGCCATAAACCCTGCTCAGGGCCCCTTCCTTTTGTGTGCCATAGAGCACCTGGGTTCCTTTCCAATTTTGTTCACATCCCCTGTCTCGCTTTCCTGGCTGCTCCACTGGGTACCCACTTGACCTCTTCTGACCTCTCTCCAGCTGGCTCCACTGGCACCTGCCTGGGTTGCTACTGACCTTTGGCATCTGCTGGCCTATGGAGCCCCTGCTCCTCCTGCCGCTGCTGTGGATTCTGGGAGGATGAACTGCAAGCCTGCTGACTTCCATCCCAGGGCAGGACGCACACCCAGCAAGGGCACTAGGATGGTGGATCCAAGGGAGGGGATGGCAGGTGATTGCTACAGGGCTTAGAAATCTACAGACAGATGACTACTAGGGCTCTGTTCCTGCCTCCTGCTCACGCCCTGGCAGAATCCACACCTGTATCTCGGTGCTTGGGGGCTTCATGGAGCAGTCTGTGTTCTGGGGCAGCATCTTTAGGTAAGGAAATCAGCGAGATGTAGGTGGACCCCTGGGTCGGACCTGAAGGCCTAAATTCTCCCAGAGTTAGCTAGTCTTTGCTAATCTCCATGTGACTGGCCTTCCCACTGCCTTACCTTCCCTATCAGTAAGATAAGAAAGAAAATGCCTATTGTCCTGGGGGCATGTGGACAATGAAATGAGATAAAACAAAGCTCTGTCAGAAAGCAAAACAGAGACCCATGTATTCCATGCTCATTCTTTTTTTTTTTTTTTGGCGGAACCTGGATTGAACTCAGGCCCTTGCACTTGCCAGGGAAGCGCAAATAACGATCAAGGGAAGCGCTTATTCCACCCAGCCATCACCCCGGCCCCCTTCCATGCTCATTCTGACACTGGCCCTTAGCTCAGGGAGACCCCATCTCAGTCACCCCCCATGCATCTAATTGTTAAATTAGTACCTATATGTAATCACAGCACTCAGGAGGCTGAGACAGGAGGATCTCGGCGAGTTCCAAGCCAGCCTGGGCGGCACAGTCAGTTCAAGGCCAGCCTCAACCACACAGGGAGACCCGGTCTCAGTCACCCCCCCATGCATCTAATTGTTAAATTAGTACCTATATGTCACAGACATTTAAAAGAAAACTTAAATCATGAGCAATCGTGTCACTGAGAGAGAGAACATGTGACCGCGGGGTTCCCACCTTTCCAATCCCTTTCCAGTAGGAGCACTCAGCCATCCCTGGCCTTCGGGTGTGACGGGTGTGACGTGTTAGCATGATTTCTGTCCAGGCGGGAGGCTTAAGAGGCCAGACTTGCCACAAATTAATGTAGTCTAAATGTAGCCTCTGATGCTTAGCTCTTTGACTAAACTCTTTCACTTTCTTAGGCTAATCAACCATTGGCAAGTTCCTTCTCTGGCCAGTGGTTTTAGGATACCAACAGTTCCTTTCTCTTAGGGGTGTAGAATCAATCTGTAGAAAGTGGTTGGCAGAAACACCAGCATGTAGTAATGCTCAACAAATACCAGGCACTTTTTTTTTTCTTTTTGGTCTTGTAAAATCCAGGCTGTGAAAAATTCTTAAAAGTCACTGTTTTTAATGACTTCCTAATAGCATGTTGTTTTTTTATACCCTCATTTATTCAATCTCTTCATACACTTTGTCCTTTCAATTCTAGGGTGATGAATTTTGCGGACCTAAATCTTGCTCCAGTTTGGCTTATTTCTGTAGGCAATGTGTTCTAGATTAGCAATAAGTGGGGTAAAAAGAGATTTTTCAAGAGATGATGAGAACAGATGTCAAATGACTTTGGCGAAAGGATTTGCAAACAGGGCTCACGCGTGGTTTCAAACAGCGGCAAGAACTGTAGCCTTGGACTTTCTCCTTCCCTCTTCGCCTCCTTTCTCCAGTTGTACCCTTGGGAGCCGTGCACTGTGGATTCTTAGACTTTTGAGACGGTGCCTTGGTGCAAAAGGGGCCAGCGGGCGGTGAGAAGGAGGAGCAGCAGAGAGCAGGTTTGAATGTCACCCACGCCCCGCGGCTCCGTAATTGCCTCGCGGCGGACCCTGGCGCGGCGGTCACGTGGCCTGAGCATGACCTCATAGCTGGGCGGGAGGAGGGGCGCGGAAGATGCTCCCGCACCCCGGGGTGGCAAGTTCCTAGGGCAGATCTAGGGGTTTGGGGGCTCCTCGCAGCCCTCCGGGAAGGGGAGACCAAGGAACCCCGACTTCTGTAACTGCCGGGAAGCGACCTGCACCCGCGCCGCGAGCTCCGGTTCCCCCGGCAGCTGCAGCCTAGAGCGTCTCCGGGACGCTGCGGACGGACGCGAGCCAAGAGGGGTTTGGGGGCGCTGCGGGTCCGGGGAGCTGCCTGAATGGACTGGACTGACCGGCACCGGCAGCCTGGAGGGCAGAGAGCGGAGTTTGGAGTGGTGTTTAAAACCGACCTCGACTCAGAAAGACCAGCGCAAAGGCTCGACGGAGGAGGGGGCGGCTCCTTGGCTTCTTCCCCACCACCTGGCCCCGCGGTCTTTCCGCCAGCCCGGCTCCCTGGGGGTGCCTTCCGGCCCTCAAAGGATCGGGGAGCTGGGGAGCCGCCAGAGCCCTGAATCGGTGTCCACTGCAGCCACTGCCCCACCCCGCTCCGGGAAGTGCCTGGGCTCCGTGATGCCCCGCCTCGTGTTTCTCTTGTAGACTCCGAAAAGAATTTTGAAAATTTAGGTATCCACTTGTACATTTTTAGTTGCAAGTATTTAAAAAGTTTTTTTTTTTTTTCAAGTTTAAATAGCTACCCAAAATCTTTCTGGTGTATTGCAAATATTGACATTTTAAAATTGCACTGTTATAGTACTCTGAAAAATGTTTTGAAATACAGTATACTATAGCAATTGGCTACCCACTGTCACGTCTTTAAAAAAAAAATACATGAGCAAGTTGGAGAAATTTCATCCTTTTTTTTTTCTCCTTGCACTTACATATTTCCATTCCACTTTCCCTATAGAATTTCAGCTTGTATTTTTATGCCTGAAAGCCTTTTATGTATCATCTTGTCATACTTCTCACCAGCAAAACTATGTGTTTAAAGTGAGCTGATTCCTAAAATTCCTGCAACCACAGGCTCTAACTGTTAAAGAACATTTTGTCTGGATTTATAACGTAACAGTGACATACAATTAAACAAAAATAAAGGAGCAAAAATAAGAACTGCATCTCTTAAGGAGATGAAGTGTCCCCTCCCCAACTAGCTTCCCATATCCAGGTAAGCATCACCTATTGCTAGGAAGGGTTAGGGGTCAGCATTTTTTTTTTAAATTGATGCAAAAGCATAGTTCGCAAATCTTTCTCAACTAATAAAGAGGAACTCAAGGATTTTTCCCAATGACAATGTCATTCACTTGTATCCCCTTTTGAATTACATGCCCAAAGCCATTTGGGTAAATCATTAAAAATCTTAGCGGCTGACAACTAGAAATCGACTTTCCCTCATTCTGAATGAAAGCAAAGCATTGGAAGCTATTTGTTTTGCGCTGTCAGGAGAGTTATTCCCTTTCTCAACATGGACCCTGGAACTGAGGTTGTGCTCTGAGCGCACCAGGCATTTGCCCCTAAGTGGCTGCACCAGGCTCAGAGGTGGGGTGGGTAAAGGATGCTCCTGTCCTACAAGAAGTGGAGGTAGGGGCCTTGAAAGGGAGGCAGGAAGAAGAATTGATAGCATCCTAGCCAGATGCAAGGCCAGCCAGATCACCTGTGCAAGAGGACCCTGGAGAAACTGAGGACTTGTCCTGTCTCTGGAGATGACCCAGGCTGAAACACATGCCCTTTGGAAACCTTCAGGGATCCCCCAGGGCACTTGGACCTTAATTTGTGCTGGCTTATTGCCGGCTCAGTGAGCAAAAGAGAAGCTGATGGGCTGAGGGGTTCCTAAGATTCCAAAGGTAAGAGGGGAGGAGCTCTGGGCAGAAGCAGACCCTGAGGGTCCACCTCTGCAGGACTGTTCTTGGGAGAGGGCAGAAGCAATGGTGAGCCTCAGATGCCCTAGCTGCTGTCCGTCCAGAGCTGGACTTCTCTCAGTGCCTTCCTGACCCTTGGCCTTCAGCCAGTTTGGGTCCTGGAAACCTTTCCTTCACATTCTTCTGTGCAGGCCCTGAGGTGGGGAGCAATCAGCACCAGAACAGTCCCAGTGGAGCCTAGCAGAGTGAGATATGCTAGGCCCGGATAAACTACAACCCCAACAGACAGACGCTGACAGATCGCTGGCCTTCTGTGCTGGCTTATCTCTTTTGTCATCTTTGGGAGCATTGTTTCCAGGGAACTTTGCTGGTCTCTGGGGCATCTCTGTGTCTTGAGAAGGTCTCCTTGCTGGGTGTGCTGGCGTGTGTAGCAGTCCCAGCACTCTGGGAGGCTGAGGCAGGAAGACTGCAAGTTTAACTTTAGCTGGTAGCTAGTTATTAACTTATTTAGACAGGATCTCACTATGTAGCCTAGGTTGGCCTTTTATTTTATTATTATTACTTTTTTATGTATTTGGGACAGGGTCTCACTGCGCAGCTCAGACTTGTAGTGCAACTCATAGTCATAGTGATCTTCCTGTTTTCAGCCTCCTCAGTGTTGGGGTTACAGGTTTGAGCCACCATGCCCACACTAGGTGGCCGGCTCAGCAAGCCCCGGGGCAGGGCCGGCACAGCATGCGTTACATGAGATCGAACTCCAGTCCCCGCGCTCGGCACTTAGTCCACTGAGGTATCTCGCTGGCCCTCAGGCTGGCCTTGAACCCCTGAGAGCTGACTCTTACCCATCCTGTGTGGTTGATTTGAGGTGCTGCTTCCTCCTGGAAGCCAGGTTCCTCCTGGCCCCCTTCTGGGCCTGGCTGCATGTAAAGGGTCCCCAGGCGCTGGTACCCTGGGAATGGGGGCTGCTGAAAGGTACAGTAGGGAGACTGTGACCTGTAGGGCTTACTGGGCAGTCACTGGAGCAGGGCCCATCCATCCAGCACACACACACAGCAAAGAATCATCTTTGGCCCAAGTGTCATTCATGCTGTGGTGAGAGTCTCTTTAACTACTTGCTCTCTGGCCATGACATTTTTTATGATGTGGTGGCTTTGATTACATTGTGAGGTTGTGTGTGTGTGTGTGTGTGTGTGTGTGTGTGTTACCACTGTGTTTCATGATTTTACTATCGTTAATGCTTCAACCGGATGGCAGCTTCTCAGAGGCCAGATCATGTTCTAGCAGGTGTCCATCACCAAGGGCACTAACGCCATGTTCCCTAGGGTGTAGGGACTCTCCGAGGCACTCTAGAAGGATGAGCTCTGGCCTGCCCCAAGACTGTCCTCAGATGCTTTCTATCAGCTGCTGCTAGAATCTATACATCTAAAAAACAAAACAGCCCAGTGAGCTGGCAGACATAGGACTCCTTTATGGTGTAGTGGCTTTGATTACTTTGTGAGGGTGTGAGGGTGTATGTGTGTGTGGTGTTTATGGAACCACCAGGTCTGCAGGGAGCCGGGACCTCCCAGTGCACCTAAACCTTCAGGCTGAGCTGAGGACCACACTGAGAGAAATCGTTAGCCGGCGAGGCAGCAGGCAGTCCTTTGCCAGCTTTCTCTTCAGCCTGGAGCAAGGAATCTACCAACTGTTTCCCAGATCTGCGAATGCAGCTGAGAAAACCTCACACCCTGACTCACTAGGAAGGCAGGCGCCGATAGATGTCTCCTCTCAAGGAGTAGCCGTCAACAAGGAGCTGCTAACTGGGAGAGCCCTGGGGTGTGAGGTCCACCAGCCATGTGTGTGGGTCTGCTGTGACTGTGTTCTGGCCTCCCAGCTCAACACACACGTCTGGGAATGGCTTGGAAGGTCAAGTTTGTAGAATTCGCACCCTCTTCTCATTGCTACACTGGAACGCAGTCGTGGGGGTAGCTGACGCCAGAGCCCCTTGAGTTCATGGTATGCTGTCCACACTCCTGGTCTTCTTGCTGCCAGCTCTGCTGTGGCCACGACAAGCCCCTCCAGCACAGGCATCCGTGTTTCCGGCTCACCCTTATCTACTCACCAGTGTTTTCAGCCTGCCTTAGAGGCTATGTTGGGGAAGAGGCCTGCAGTCTTAGAAGTAAGAACTAAGCGTTTTGCACAAGGAAGTCCAGGGCCCTGTACACCCAGACCCAGAGCATGGGCTAGCAAGAAGGGAACCGTGAGCACGTGTGGGTACATCCACTGGGTCCTCTAGGTCCCTCACCCCTAGGGAAGAGTGACACTGAAGAGAGCACAAATAGAATGCTTTCAAGGTGCTGGCCCCAAGAAAGTGCCTTTTTGTTCCTACTGCTGTGCAGGGAGGCAGTACCGCCTTTCTATCTGGGCAGGAAGGTCCCTACTGAGTTGTTATTTCCGAGGAGTGCCATCGATGCCCTAGGTTTGAGACTCATTGGGCAGGCTTAGGTCACGTGCCCACCCAAGAACCAATCATTTTGGCCACTGGATAAGCGGTTCTGATTGGCCAGGTTTGTGTCCAGGAAGTCAGCCCCCCAGGACCCGGGGTACTCTGAAGAAGAGGGAAGTTCTCCAGAGAAAATCACGGGGACACAAATGCTGGACACACACAGCAGATGTCACCAGAACCCTTTCAGGAACTGGCCTGTTTGGGGTCTGCCCCAGTGGCTTCTCAGGTATTTGCATATGCCTGAGCCTGCTGTGATCCTGTCATGTATGGTGAAAGCCTATCTATGAGAGTCTAAAAATTGGTAGCCCAGATATTAAACCTCCTAAGAGGATTTGTACTTGAATACCCACAAAGCCTTAGTCCAGGAAATACTGCCCTCATGGTAGAACCATAGGCTTTGTGGCAGGAGTGGGAAGAACTTTTCGTATTTAGTTTTTTAAAATTTTATTCAGGTTCTGTGTAGTACACACCATTTGCAGTCCTTGGGGGGAGCTGGTACATGCACATAATGTGTCTTAATTCCTTCTTTCAAACCTCCTTCCATCTCCCCTCCCCCTTCTCCTGATTCCCTTCCATTTTTAGGGTGCATGTTCATAGTACATAATGTTTATAATCCTTGTGTAGGGTTAGCACAGGTACATAACACACCCTGGACCTTGTCTTCATCCTTGTCCCTTTCCTCCCGCCCCCTTTTTTCCCCCGTTTCTGTCTCTTGATCCCCTTCCCTTTTGAGAATGATTTAGGGAGAAAATATTTTAAACCCAAAAGGTCACCCTGAGGCTCACTAGGTTCCCGTGTATCCTGTGCATGTGTTAGAGCTAATGACCTAGCAGGAATCGATCCGTGCCAGGGATGATCAGTGCTGGTGGGGGAGGGGTCAGAGGGGCCACAGAGTCCCAGAGAGGAGTGCACAGATAGAGAGGGGGTGGCTGCAGGCAGCGGCCCAAAGCAGCAGCTCTTCCCTGAAA